GCAGCCGTAATCAAGGTGGGGGAAGATGAGGGACGATACTAGGAGTCTACGTGTGGGTATAGGTAGGAGATAACGGAAGCGATGGAATAGTTTCAAGGTACCAATTGAACGTCGGGAGGTGTGAGTAATACGGTGATTCCAGGAGAGGGTTTGGTCTATAAAAATGCCTAGATTTTTTACTGTGGAGCTGAACGTGATGGGATGGTCATTTAGGTATAGGATAGGAATGTTGGTATTGGATCTGAGAAGTGGTTTGGAACCAATTAAAATGGCTTGAGTTTTGGCAGCGTTTAATCTTAGTCCATTTAAGTTTGCCCAAGCATTGATGCGGTTTAGGTCTTCTTGAATTTTGGCAAACGCATCTTGCAACTCTGAGGGAGAATTCCAAATATGGAAATCATCGGCATTTAGGTGATGAGAACAGTGCAGGATGGATTTATGAAGGTCTTTGATGTAGGAACTTAAGAGAAGAGGCGATATGCTAGAGCCCTGGGCCACTCCTGAAGTCAGAGTAAGATAGGAAGACAAACATTGATTGGAAATAGACTGCTTGGGTGCGTTGAGAAAGAAAAGATTGAAGCCAAAGGATAGAACTGTTAGAAAAGGTTAATGATTTTAATTTGGAAAATAGGATGGAATGGTTGATGGTATCAAAGGATTTGGAAAAGTCGAGGAGTACACGGGCAGTTAGCTTTTGATCATCTATGACGGATTGAGAATCACTATTAGAGTGCTACCAATGGGTAGTTTCTCAACATGTTTTCCATGTCATTATACCAATGTGCAAATTTACTGGATGTATTTTTTTTGTATACAGTTGTAAATATCATTTAAAATAAATAAAAAAAAAATTTCATGGCTTAAATTATTGGTTGAGATCTTCTGAGTGTTTTGAAAAAAATTGAGCTAAAAATACTGACCTTTGATATAATTTAATTACTCCAGTATAAAAAATTAAACAAATAAAAAATTGAAGAAATAATACATAAACCCACTCTGAAGAAGCGTCACACATAAGCGTCAAAGGTCCAATGGTGAAGTATTAGGAGATCAGAAGCTCCTAGGCGGTAAGGCTCACTGTCTGATCATTGGCCTTAGCTCAACTAGAATGCAACTTCTCGCCAATTGATGTGTTTATAGTCTTATTATCAAGTGTGACTTGTAGAATCAATATTTAAATGTTACATACATAGTATGAGCATAATATACGCTCATATTTTAAGCTTAAGTTTAATATTATTAAATTAGATATGTGCTATAAATCATCAACTTCAATCAAAAATATTGGACACACATCCCGGCCTTCGGTCCGATTTGTCTTGGAGACGAGAAAAAAATATTTTATATCATTTCAAGAGAAATTTATGTATTGTCCTCTATTCCTACCTTTGGTTAAAAACCCCGTAACCACCCGGGCAAAAAGCAAATCAGGAAAAAAAAAAAACAATACATAAATTTCTCTTGAATGATATAGAATATTTTTTTCTCGGCTCCAAGACCCATCGGACCGAAGGCCGGGACTTGTCTCCAATATTTTTTATATACATATATTGTAATAGTCAATTACTAAGATATTTGTTATTTAATAAGTATGAGCTGTTGTGTGGAAAACATAATTTTAGGTAGATTTAATGAAACATCGACAAACTTGATGATTTATAGCATATATTTATTTTAATAATATTAAACTTAAACTTGAAATATGTTCGTATATTATGTTCATACTATGTATGAAACATTTAAATATTAACTATAAAAGTCAGGCTAGATAATAAGACTATAAACGTATAAATTGGCGAGAAGTTGCATTCAAGTTAAGCTATGATCATAGCTCAGACAGGGAGCCTTAGCGCCTAGGAGCTTCTGTTCTCCTGATCTTATACCTTTAAACCTTTGACGCTTATGTGACGCTTCTTCAGAGTGTGTTTATTTCTTATTTCCTCAATTTTTCAACTTGTTTTCTTTTTTTCTATGAGAGTAATTAACTTGTATAAGAAAGTTACTTTGTTGGGCATGCAGTTCCTTACCGACTTATCTAATTAAATTGTTTATCTGAATAAATAAATAAATAATGAGGCCTAAGAAAGATAAAAAAAAAAAATCTCCTTACTACAGGAACACCATTTGAATGTATTTTCATCTCTGACCACTGTTCCCAAAAATAATTGTATTTTATGATAACAATTGATGCTTGTCATAATGTAGTAGTAAGTTTCATTTCCATAATACAACAATCCATACATTAGTGCAATTATAAAAAAATAATAAAACATGAAATATTTAGTGGAAGAATACCCAAAGAATTTTTTTGGCCTGTGCCCATGTTAAGTAGATGGCTGCCCTGTGTTTGAAAGTAGAGAAAGCTGAGCTACATAGAGTAATTTTCATATTACCTCTTACTTATAAAATTTATAACTTTATTTCCCTCAACATATTGCACAGCTAAAAAAAAATCACCAAACAGATATTATCTGTTGCTCATTATTTATTATATTTACCTCAAGTGAAAAAAAAATGTTTATTCCAGTTAAATTTGAAGGGTATACATTCAAAAGTGTACGCTTATTTATTTTTTTAATATGATTGAATATACATTAAACATTTGCACAGAAACTCCTCCAGTTTCTTTTGTTCTTTAATTTTTTTTTTTATTTACGGTCAATATTCCATAGTACTCAGTATTCAGTATTCCTTGTTTGCAGTCTTGCAAGAATATTATTTTATATTTTTACCCTCTCTTATTAAACATACACTTCTTCAAAATTGAAATTATAAGTTGCAATGTATCACATTCAAGCTAATTATTTACTTATATTCTCCTGGAAGTTTATTTTCAGGATCCAGTTAATTTTTTGTAAAATGTTTATGAATTCCATCTTTAAATCTAGCGAAATTTATACATCGCATCACTCTGTCGAAGGCACCTCCATGTCAAAGGCAGTAGGAACTCCATCAGTCATTGGTGGATCAAAGTTAGGGAAAGGAATAGCTTTAAAAATTTATAATTTTATTTCCCTCAGTGCAAATTGATAATATTTGGTAATTGACTAATTTTCTCCTTTTATGCTAGTCTTGGAACATTGTAACATTGTCATAAAACCTAAAATATTCAACATAGTGGAAAGATGGTTTTTACTAAAAATAAATGTACATAGTTGATTAATTCCTAGTACAGCAAGGCTTTTTCAGCAAGGCTTGAATATACATTTAACATTTGCTCAGAAACTTCTCCAGTTACTTTTGTTCTTTAATTTTTTTTTTTTATTTACGGTCAATATTTCATAGTATTCCTTGTTTGCAGTCTTGCAAGAATATTATTTTATATTTTTACCCTCTCTTATTAAACATACACTTCTTCAAAATTCAAATTATAAACTACAAGGTAACACATTCTAGCTTATTATTTGCTTATATTCTTATTTAAGTTTATTATCAGGATCCAGTTAATTTTTTGTAAAATGTTTATGAATTCCATCTTTAAATCTTGCGACATTTGTACATTACACCACTCTGTCAAAGGCTCCTCCATGTCAAAGGCAGTAGGAACATCATCAGTCATGGGTGGATCAAAGGCAGGGAAAGGAATAGCTTTAAAAATTTATAATTTTATTTCCCTCAGTGCAAATTGATATTATTTGGTAATTGACTAATTTTCTCCTTTTATGCTAGTCTTGGAACATTGTAAGGTTGTAATAAAACCTAAAATATTCAACATAGTGGAAACATAGTTTTTACTAAAAATAAATGTACCTTGTTGATTAATTCCTAGTACAGCAAGGCTTTTTCTAAACGTGAGCAACATATCATTATAAAAATAAGCTTATACAACATATTGCACATCTAAAAAAAAGTTCACCAAACAGATATTAACTGTTGTTCAATATCTATTACATTTACCTCAAGTGAAAAGAGAATGTTTATTCCAGTTAAATTTGAAGTGTATACATTCAAAAGTGTAGACTTATTTACTTTTTTATTATTATTGAATATACATTAAACATTTGCACAGAAACTTCACCAGTTTCTGTTGTTCTTTAATTTTTTTTTTTATTTACGTTCAATATATCATTGTATTCCTAGTTTGCAGTCCTTCAAGAATATAATTATACCCTCTCTTATTAAACATACACTTCTTCAAAATTGAAATTATAAACTGCACTGTAACACATTCTAGCTTATTATTTGCTTATATTCTAATTAAGTTTATTTTCATGATCCAGTTAATTTTTTGTAAAATGTTTATGAATTTTATCTTTAAATCTTGCGACATTTGTACATTACACCAGTCTGTCAAAGGCACCTCCATGTCAAAGGCAGTAGGAACTCCATCAGTCATTGCTAGATCAAAGGTAGGGTAAGGAATAGCTTTAAAAATTTATAATTTTATTTCCCTCAGTGAAAATTGATAATATTTGGTAATTGACTGATTTTCTCCTTTTATGCTAGTCTTGGAACATTGTAAGGTTGTAATAAAACCTAAAATATTCAACATAGTGGAAACATAGTTTTTACTAAAAATAAATGTACCTGGTTGATTAATTCCTAGTACAGCAAGGCTTTTTCCTAATCTGAGCAGCATATCATTAATAAAATAAGCTTATAAAACATATTGCAAAACTAAAAAAAAATTACCAAACAGATATTATCTGTTGCTCAATATTAATTATATTTATCTCAAGTGAAAAGAGAATGTTTATTCCAGTAAAATTTGAAGTGTATACATTCAAAAGTGTAGAATTATTTACTTTTTTATTATTATTGAATATACATTAAACATTTGCACAGAAACTTCACCAGTTTCTGTTGTTCTTTATTTCATAGTATTCCTAGTTTGCAGTCCTTCAAGAATATAATTTTATATTTTTACCCTCTCTTATTAAACAGACACTTTTTCAAAATTGAAATTATAAACTGCACTGTAACACATTCTAGCTTATTATTTGCTTATATTCTAATTTAAGTTTATTTTCAGGATCCAGTTAATTTTTTGTAAAATGTTTATGAATTCTATCTTTAAATCTTGCGACATTTGTACATTACACCAGTCTGTCAAAGGCACCTCCATGTCAAAGGCAGTAGGAACTCCATCAGTCATTGGTAGATCAAAGGTAGGGTAAGGAATAGCTTTAAAAATTTATAATTTTATTTCCCTCAGTGCAAATTGATAATATTTGGTAATTGACTAATTTTCTCCTTTTATGCTAGTCTTGGAACATTGTAAGGTTGTAATAAAACCTAAAATATTCAACATAGTGGAAACATAGTTTTTACTAAAAATAAATGTACCTAGTTGATTAATTCCTAGTACAGCAAGGCTTTTTCCTAATCTGAGCAGCATATCATTAATAAAATAAGATTATAAAACATATTGCAAAACTAAAAAAAAATTACCAAACAGATATTATCTGTTGCTAAATATTAATTATATTTATCTCAAGTGAAAAGAGAATGTTTATTCCAGTTAAATTTGAAGTGTATACATTCAAAAGTGTAGACTTATTTACTTTTTTATTATTATTGAATATACATTAAACAGTTGCACAGAAACTTCACCAGTTTCTGTTGTTCTTTATTTCATAGTATTCCTAGTTTGCAGTCCTTCAAGAATATAATTTTATATTTTTACCCTCTCTTATTAAACAGAAATTTTTTCTAAATTGAAATTATAAACTGCACTGTAACACATTCTAGCGTATTATTTGCTTATATTCTAATTTAAGTTTATTTTCAGGATCCAGTTAATTTTTTGTAAAATGTTTATGAATTCCATCTTTAAATCTTGCGACATTTGTACATTACACCACTCTGTCAAAGGCACCTCCATGTCAAAGGCAGTAGGAACTCCATCAGTCATTGGTGGATCAAAGGTAGGGTAAGGAATAGCTTTAAAAATTTATAATTTTCTTTCCCTCAGTGCAAATTGATAATATTTGGTAATTGACTAATTTTCACCTTTTATACTAGTCTTGGAACATTGTAAGGTTGTAATAAAACCTAAAATATTCAACATAGTGGAAACACAGTTTTTACTAAAAATAAATGTAACTAGTTGATTAATTCCTAGTATAGCAAGGCTTTTTCCAAATCTGAGCAGCATATCATTATTAAAATAAGCTTATAAAACATATTGCAAAGCTAAAAAAAAATCACCAAACAGATATTATCTGTTGCTCAATATTAATTATATTTAACCTCAAGTGAAAAGAAAAAATGTTCATTTCAGTTAAATTTGAAGGGTATACATTCAAAAGTTTACACTTATTTATTTTTTTAATATGATTGAATATATATTAAACATTTGCACACAAACTTCACCTGTTTCTATTGTTCATTAATTTTTTTTTAATTTACGGTCAATATTTCATAGTATTCCTAGTTTGCAGTCCTTCATGAAAATAATTATACCCTCTCTCATTAAACTGACACTTCTTCAAAATTGAAATTATAAACTGCAATGTAACACATTCTAGCTTATTATTTGCTTATATTCTCCTGGATATTTATTTTCAGGATCCAGTTAATTTTTTGTAAAATGTTTATGAATTCCATCTTTAAATTTTGCGACATTTGTACATTACACCACTCTGTCAAAGGCACCTCCATGTCAAAAGGCAGTAGGAACTCCATCAGTCATTGGTGGATCAAAGGTAGGGTACGGAATAGAATTAAAAATTTATAATTTTATTTCCCTCAGTGCAAATTGATAATATTTGGTAATTGACTAATTTTCTCCTTTTATACTAGTCTTGGAACATTGTGAGGTTGTCATAAAACCTAAAATATTCAACATAGTAGAAAGATAGTTTTTACTAAAAATAAATGTACCTTGTTGATTAATTCCTAGTACAGCAAGGCTCTATCTAAACGTGAGCAGCATATAATTATAAAAATAAGCTTATATGACATCTTGCAAATCTAAAAAAATAATTCACCAAACAGATATTATCTGTATCTCAATATTAATTATATTTACCTCTAGTGAAAAAATATGTTTATTCCAGTTTAATTTGAAGGATATACATTCAAAAGTGTACACTTATTTATTTTTTTAATATTATTGAATATACATTAAACATTTGCACAGAAACTTCACCAGTTTCAGTTGTTCTTTAATTTTTTTTTTAATTATGTTCAATATTTCATAGTATTCCTAGTTTGCAGTCCTTTAAGAATATAATTATACCCTCTCTCATAAAACTGACACTTCTTTAAAATTGAAATTATAAACTGCAATGTAACACATTCTAGCGTATTATTTGCTTATATTCTAATTTAAGTTTATTTTCAGGATCCAGTTTATTTTTTGTAAAATGTTTATGAATTCTATCTTTAAATCTTGCGTCATTTGTACATTACACCACTCTGTCAAAGGCACCTCCTTGTCAAAGGCAGTAGGAACTCCATCAGTCATTGGTGAATCAAAGGTGGGGTAAGGAATAGCTTTAAAAATTTATAATTTTTTTTCCCTCATGCAAATTGATAATATTTGGTAATTGACTAATTTTCTCCTTTTATACTAGTCTTGGAACATTGTGGGGTTGTCATAAAAAATAAAATATTCAACATAGTAGAAGGATAGTTTTTACTAAAAATAAATGTACCTTGTTGATTAATTCCTAGTACAGCAAGGCTCTATCTAAACGTGAGCAGCATATAATTATAAAAATAAGCTATATGACATCTTGCAAATCTAAAAAAATAATTCACCAAACAGATATTATCTGTTGCTCAATATTAATTATATTAAAATCGAGTAAAAGAAAAAATGTTTATTCCAGTTAAATTTGAAGGGTATACATTCAAAAGTGTACACTTATTTATTTTTTTAATATTATTGAATATACATTAAACATTTGCACCGAAACTTCACCAGTTTCTGTTGTTCTTTAATTTTTTTTTTTATTTACGTTTAATATTTCATAGTATTCCTACTTTGCAGTCCTTCAAGAATATAATTTTATATTTTTACCCTCTCTTATTAAACAGACAATTTTTCAAAATTGATATTATAAACTGCACTGTAACACATTCTAGCTTATTATTTGCTTATATTCTAATTTAAGTTTATTTTCAGGATCCAGTTAATTTTTTGTAAAATGTTTATGAATTCTATCTTTAAATCTTGCGACATTTGTACATTACACCAGTCTGTCAAAGGCACCTCCATGTCAAAGGCAGTAGGAACTCCATCAGTCATTGGTGGATCAAAGGTAGGGTAAGGAATAGCTTTAACAATTTATAATTTTATTTCCCCCAGTACAAATTGATAATATTTGGTAATTGACTAATTTTCTCCTTTTATGCTAGTCTTGGAACATTGTAAGGTTGTAATAAAACCTAAAATATTCAACATAGTGGAAATACAGTTTTTACTAAAAATAAATGTACCTAGTTGATTAATTCCTAGTACAGCAAGGCGTTTTCTAAACGTGAGGAACATATCATTATACAAATAAGTTTATACAACATATTGCACATCTAAAAAAGAATCACCAAACAGATATTATCTGTTGTTCAATATTTATTATATTTACCTCTAGTGAAAAAAAAATTGTTTATTTCAGTTAAATTTGAAGGATATACATTCAAAAGTGTACACTTATTTATTTTTTTAATATGATTGGAAATATATTAAACATTTGCACAGAAACTTCACCAGTTTCTGTTGTTCTTTAATTTTTTTTTTATTTACGTTCAATATTTCATAGTATTCCTAGTTTGCAGTCCTCCAAGAATATAATTATACCCTCTCTTATTAAACATACACTTCTTCAAAATTAAAATTATAAATTGCAATGTATCACATTCAAGCTAATTATTTACTTATATTCACCTGGAAGTTTATTTTCAGGATCCAGATAATTTTTTGTAAAATGTTTATGATTTCTATCTTTAAACCTTGCAAAATTTATACATTACACCACTCTGTCAAAGGCACCTCCTTGTCAAAGGCAGTAGGAACTCCATCAGTCATTGGTGGATCAAAGGTAGGGTAAGGAATAGCTTTAAAAATTTATAATTTTATTTCCGTCAGTGCAAATTAATAATATTTGGTATTTGACTAATTTTTTCCTTTTATGCTAGTCTTGGAACATTGTAAGGTTGTAATAAAACCTAAAATATTCAACATAGTAGAAACATAGTTTTTACTAAAAATAAATGTACCTTGTTGATTAATTCCTAGTACAGCAAGGCTTTTTCTAAACGTGAGAAACATATCATTATAAAAATAAGCTTATACAACATATTGCACATCTAAAAAAAAGTTCACCAAACAGATATTATCTGTTGTTCAATATCTATTATATTTACCTCTAGTGAAAAAAAAAATGTTTATTCCAGTTAAATTTGAAGGGTATACATTCAAAAAGGTACACTTATTTATTTTTTTAATATGATTGAATATACATTAAACATTTGCACTCAAACTTCACCAGTTTCTGTTGTTTTTTAATTTTTTTTTTATTTACGGTCAATATTTCATAGTATTCCTAGTTTGCAGTCTTGCAAGAATATAATTTTATATTTTTACCCTCCCTTATTAAACAGACACTTCTTCAAATTTGAAATTATAAATTGCAATGTATCACATTCAAGCTAATTATTTATTTATATTCTCCTGGAAGTTTATTTTCAGGATCCAGTTAATTTTTTGTAAAATGTTTGAATTCTATCTTTAAATCTTGCGACATTTGTACATTACACCAGTCTGTCAAAGGCACCTCCATGTCAAAGGCAGTAGGAACTCCATCAGTCATTGGTAGATCAAAGGTAGGGTAAGGAATAGCTTTAAAAATTTATAATTTTATTTCCCTCAGTGCAAATTGATAATATTTGGTAATTGACTAATTTTCTCCTTTTATGCTAGTCTTGGAACATTGTAAGGTTGTAATAAAACCTAAAATATTCAACATAGTGGAAACATAGTTTTTACTAAAAATAAATGTACCTATTTGATTAATTCCTAGTACAGCAAGGCTTTTTCCTAATCTGAGCAGCATATCATTAATAAAATAAGCTTATAAAACATATTGCAAAACTAAAAAAAAATCACCAAACAGATATTATCTGTTGCTCAATATTAATTATATTTATCTCAAGTGAAAAGAGAATGTTTATTCCAGTTAAATTTGAAGTGTATACATTCAAAAGTGTAGACTTATTTACTTTTTTATTATTATTGAATATACATTAAACATTTGCACAGAAACTTCACCAGTTTCTGTTGTTCTTTAATTTTTTTTTTTATTTACGTTCAATATATCATTGTATTCCTAGTTTGCAGTAATTCAAGAATATAATTATACCCTCTCTTATTAAACATACACTTCTTCAAAATTGAAACTATAAATTGCAATGTATCACATTCAAGCTAATTATTTACTTATATTCTCCTGGAAGTTTATTTTCAGGATCCAGATAATTTTTTGTAAAATGTTTATGATTTCTATCTTTAAACCTTGCAAAATTTATACATTACACCACTCTGTCAAAGGCACCTCCTTGTCAAAGGCAGTAGGAACTCCATCAGTCATTGGTGGATCAAAGGTAGGGTAAGGAATAGCTTTAAAAATTTATAATTTTATTTCCGTCAGTGCAAATTAATAATATTTGGTATTTGACTAATTTTTCCTTTTATGCTAGTCTTGGAACATTGTAAGGTTGTAATAAAACCTAAAATATTCAACATAGTAGAAACATAGTTTTTACTAAAAATAAATGTACCTTGTTGATTAATTCCTAGTACAGCAAGGCTTTTTCTAAACGTGAGAAACATATCATTATAAAAATAAGCTTATACAACATATTGCACATCTAAAAAAAAGTTCACCAAACAGATATTATCTGTTGTTCAATATCTATTATATTTACCTCTAGTGAAAAAAAAATGTTTATTCCAGTTAAATTTGAAGGGTATACATTCAAAAGTGTACACTTATTTATTTTTTTAATATGATTGAATATACATTAAACATTTGCACTCAAACTTCACCAGTTTCTGTTGTTTTTTAATTTTTTTTTTATTTACGGTCAATATTTCATAGTATTCCTAGTTTGCAGTCTTGCAAGAATATAATTTTATATTTTTACCCTCCCTTATTAAACAGACACTTCTTCAAATTTGAAATTATAAATTGCAATGTATCACATTCAAGCTAATTATTTATTTATATTCTCCTGGAAGTTTATTTTCAGGATCCAGTTAATTTTTTGTAAAATGTTTATGAATTCTATCTTTAAAGCTTGCGACATTTATACATTACACCACTCTGTCAAAGGCACCTCCTTGTCAAAGGCAGTAGGAACTCCATCAGTCATTGGTGAATCAAAGGTAGGGTAAGGAATAGCTTTAAAAATTTATAATTTTTTTTCCCTCAGTGCAAATTAATAATATTTGGTAATTGACTAATTTTCTCCTTTTATGCTAGTCTTGGAACATTGTAAGGTTGTACTAAAACCTAAAATATTCAACATAGTGGAAACACAGTTTTTACTAAAAATAAATGTACCTAGTTCATTAATTCCTAATACAGCAAGGCTTTTTCCAAATCTGAGCAGCATATCATTATAAAAATAAGCTTATAAAACATATTGTAAAACTAAAAAAAAATCACCAAACAGATATTATCTGTTGCTCAATATTAATTATATTAAAGTTGAGTAAAAGAAAAAATATTTATTCCAGTTAAATTTGAAGGGTATACATTCAAAAGTGTACACTTATTTATTTTTTTAATATTATTGAATATACATAAAACATTTGCACAGAAACTTCACCAGTTTCTGTTGTTCTTTAACTTTTTTTTTTATTTACGTTCAATATTTCATAGTATTCCTAGTTTGCAGTCCTTCAAGAATTTTATTTTATATTTTTACCCTCTCTTATTAAACAGACACTTTTTCAAAATTGAAATTATAAACTGCACTGTAACACATTCTAGCTTATTATTTGCTTATATTCTAATTTAAGTTTATTTTCAGGATCCAGTTAATTTTTTGTAAAATGTTTATGAATTCTATCTTTAAATCTTGCGACATTTGTACATTACACCACTCTGTCAAAGGCTCCTCCATGTCAAAGGCAGTAGGAACATCATCAGTCATGGGTGGATCAAAGGCAGAGAAAGGAATAGCTTTAAAAATTTATAATTTTATTTCCGTCAGTGCAAATTAATAATATTTGGTATTTGACTAATTTTTTCCTTTTATGCTAGTCTTGGAACATTGTAAGGTTGTAATAAAACCTAAAATATTCAACATAGTAGAAACATAGTTTTTACTAAAAATAAATGTACCTAGTTCATTAATTCCTAATACAGCAAGGCTTTTTCCAAATCTGAGCAGCATAGCAGTATAAAAAATAAGCTTATAAAACATATTGCAAAACTAAAAAAAAATCACCAAACAGATATTATCTGTTGCTCAATATTAATTATATTAAAGTTGAGTAAAAGAAAAAATATTTATTCCAGTTAAATTTGAAGGGTATACATTCAAAAGTGTACACTTATTTATTTTTTTAATATTATTGAATATACATTAAACATTTGCACAGAAACTTCACCAGTTTCTGTTGTTCTTTAACTTTTTTTTTTATTTACGTTCAATATTTCATAGTATTCCTAGTTTGCAGTCCTCCAAGAATATAATTATACCCTCTCTTATTAAACATACACTTCTTCAAAATTAAAATTATAAATTGCAATGTATCACATTCAAGCTAATTATTTACTTATATTCACCTGGAAGTTAATTTTCAGGATCCAGATAATTTTTTGTAAAATGTTTATGATTTCTATCTTTAAACCTTGCAAAATTTATACATTACACCACTCTGTCAAAGGCACCTCCTTGTCAAAGGCAGTAGGAACTCCATCAGTCATTGGTGGATCAAAGGTAGGGTAAGGAATAGCTTTAAAAATTTATAATTTTATTTCCGTCAGTGCAAATTAATAATATTTGGTATTTGACTAATTTTTTCCTTTTATGCTAGTCTTGGAACATTGTAAGGTTGTAATAAAACCTAAAATATTCAACATAGTAGAAACATAGTTTTTACTAAAAATAAATGTACCTTGTTGATTAATTCCTAGTACAGCAAGGCTTTTTCTAAACGTGAGAAACATATCATTATAAAAATAAGCTTATACAACATATTGCACATCTAAAAAAAAGTTCACCAAACAGATATTATCTGTTGTTCAATATCTATTA